AACGACGCCCGATAATGGCCAGTATGCGGTCTACACTTCCGGCCTTGGTCGGGAACCAAGACCAATATACCTTAAGTGCTGCTGTGATGGTCGCCGCCTGTCGCATCAGTGTCATACCTACTTCATGTAGGCGACTTTCGTGCCACCTCTATTCACCTCGTGACCGTCTTCCGTAAGTGGAAGCGGAACGCGACCTGACCGTTTTGCCTCATTTCTTTACGGCATGAAGTGTTATCAACGAATAACATGTTTGCTTTATCGATGTCATCAGAATATGCTCGAATCGTGTCAGATCGCGACAACACGTTGTGTTGCGGTACGTCGACGAATGCCACATTATGTTATTAAAACTGACCGTCGCGGCAGGCCGTACTGCAAATCTGACCATAGGAGCTGACCTGTGGTTTAGCGCCTTATGCGAGACATAAAACAAGCACGAAAATCATGCACCCAACGGACGGAAGGTGGCTGTTCGACAGGAAATGTAATCTTGTGAGTTGGGAAACACGTTGCCCTAGGCTCTGTTTTCGGTAATGTGCGAGGAACCATTCCAAGTACAGACGGAAAAGGAGCGAAGAGTATGCGCGCGCGAATAATTGATTCGCACTCAATGAACATTGTCAGGAAGTCATTTGTTTTACGTGTAGTTTCAGGTGAACTGAAAACATGCGGCTTGACGTGTCAGGAGTAATGCCAATTAAGGGGAACGTCGGAGTAACTCGCAGGCGGCGCTCGCGTCTTCGGGGCAGGCGTTTCGGACTTTGGGTGCCAGGCCGTCGGTATACACGGGTCACCAACCACCAACCACCAACCACAGCCGTCGTCGCGGCGAATGCTACGGCACCACCGTAATCAAAAACATTATGGCCATTAGCTACGGATGGCTAGCGTCGTCCTCATCTACATCCTCTTTCTCGTTTTCCTTGTCCATCTTAGTCGTAGTTTGATCGCCCAGCGGCCAGCTGGTCGAGCGATCCGGTCAGTCCGATGGGCGGCAGGTCACTTGGTTGGCTGGGTCGCATTCGAAGCGTTCGGTTGTAATAACGTTGTAAACTGGTGTTGTCGGTGATGTGCGGCTGCTCTGACATTTTGCGATTTTCAGAAGTAACTGTAATGATCGCTCATGGTTCCGCATTGCTCCAAGCATCGTCCTCGAAGAAGCGCCAGTCCGTGCCCTGCTCAGCATCCAACTCCAGACCAAACAGCAGTCCGCGCGATGGAACGTCGAAAACCTGTTGCTTTTGCTGGTGCTGCTGTTGTTCATGTTCTTGGTAGGAGTAGGAGAGAATTTTAAACAGCCGTGGTCGTATCAACGTTTCCGAATGCTTTAAAATTCGATACGACAAGTGGCAAAAATATGGCGCTTGGCAGCCGCGTGTGTCGCTGTTGTCAGTGGTCGCACGGATTTCCTGTCACAAAAATCGCATCACTCCTTTCACCCAATCGCCTGCCATCGGCAACTGTCGGACCGTACACCAGTTCGTAATCGAATTCCTGTTTCAAGTTCAAAGTTCGCCTTGACATGCTTTCGTGCAACCGACAGCCTGGCTTCGGCTTACGGTGATTGGTCAGGGCCAATTAAACCACGCCTTTGGCATCAGCCTGAAGGCGTTCACACAGACGAACACGGTACTTTGGCTCTCAACGTTGAATTGGCTTTCAGATCTGTTCCTTACCTGCATATCACCGGTAGAAACTTCAACATCTGGTTGTTTGTTCTGTCTTCCGGTATTCTTCTGACTAGGGTCGGTTTCAAACACTGAACTGTTAAGAGTTAGTTAATAATTAGTTAATAGTTTGAGTTTTGTACTGAAGCTGGTCAATGTAATTCTGCTGAAACATTGGCATTTCTGGTAAACACTGTCGTCCGCCTGTTTCATGGTGCTGAGAACAGTTGAAATGTCTTCAGTGATAACTTAACTACTGATACTGATAGGTAGGCGGAGTAGACTTAGCGCTTCCTTACGAACCAAGAAATGTCCATGTCTTCCGGTTCCCTAGCCATCCTTTGTTAGTACGTGTGTTAAGTGCACGATTTAATTCTGTAGAACGAGTACCTTCTGCACTTATGCCATCAGTGTTTTCACAACATACAAATTTGTCAGGGAACAACAGAAAAAACACTCATAGTAATACTCATGGTACTTTTCGATCGTTTAATTTTAAACGTAAAGCTATGAAACGCAGATGCACTTAAGTAAAACTAAGTACTGAACAGGTACTGAGAAATTTTTGTAATTTCGATAATTAAGATGGCAACCATCTAAAAATTTGGTGTGCACTGTGAACAAGTAGGTCAAGTAGATCATTATCTTATCTTAGCTCGCCAGAATATCGGGGTTTCATTTTGTCACTCTTTCTTCTACCAGTTGTGACAATGTTTCATGTTTGAACATTCTTTCGTCCAAACCTATGATCGAGACCCTGTCCTACGTCCTATGCACTGCCGGCGCTCAAATATCAAGGATCCGTGGCCTGCTCAAATGGATCCCTAGACCTAGAAGTAAGGAGATGATGTAATCAGCTGCTGGTGTAAAGTGAGCAATTGATATTTCTTTCTTTACACTATGTCGCCGTTTCAATTCGTATCATTATTATATTTAATGTTTATCATATCGTGTTCAAAGCAATGGCTTTGTTCAGATTTCATGTAGCATTTCGCATTTTCGATTGTCTGAGGTAAATTTCTGGAATGGTAACGCATCTGATGACTCACGTTACAGGGCACCAAACAAACCTGATGTCAAGGTTTTCGATGCTTACGCGTTTCACTATGATGCCTACGGCATCTTCAGGGTACAAATGAGGCTGGCAACAAGGCACCCGCATAAGCACAAAAATAGAAGAAACTATAAACAACCTTAGCAGGCGTGAGTAGCATCACTGAGTCACTCACGACGTCAGTCCAGATGTTCGCTCCAAGTTTGTGATGAAGCTAAAACTTCCGTTTATCACAAGAGTACGTGAATATTCATTGCAAATTCCCTGTTTCTGTGCTAAACTATGGACTTCTTTGTCAGAAGACCGGTCTTGAGTGGTCCCTGTCGAGTCAGATGCGCTCGTCTCATTGACGGAATGTCTGCTTGAAAAGGCTCATTGGGCGATATCGGATCTGTTGGGCTGCCTGGGATGGACTGCAGATGTGTGTTCTTTGATCCGGGCTTTCACCTTCCAAAATAACTTTGAATTCCACATCGATCTTATCGCAGTTGATTCTGTAGATCATGTTCAATGCGGTTTCAGTGTTGCTGGGATGGTGTTTTCGAAACAGGAGGATTCCCGCAAACCTTACGCTGCTGCCGCCTGTTTTGATTGGTTCAGATACCTAAATTATGCGTGTCAAAATGCCCATTGGATTATGTTGCAGCGACTTCCTACTATTGTCCAGGTATTCTTTGTCAGGCCCAACTTCAAAGTAAAAATTGACGTTAATTACATTATTTTCATGCCTCAAGTTGTTTCCAGTCATTCTGGAGCCTGCACCCTTCACTAAGACTTGATATTAGCATATATCTATGTTCAACGAAAACTGTTACTTTCATTGCTTTCCAAATTGGGCATGCTGGAAAACGTCAACAAGTTACAGAATGCAGGGCGTGGGAATGCATGCAAGAGGTTCAGAAGCTAGCAGTAAATTGAAACAGCCGACCTCTGATGATGAGGAAGTAATTGACTAGAAGTGTGAGGCTCTGTGTCTTCAAGTTCGTGTACGCACCTGCTCTCATCTACGGTCATGAATTTTGAATATTGTCTGATTGAGTGAGATCCTGAATACAAGAAATGCAGAAATGATTTTATTTGAGGGATTGCGGATGTGATGAAAATGGACAAGCTTTGGAACCGATGGGTTTGAAATACCCTTGCGCAAGATTGATTCCTTCCCCAAGTAAAGAGATCACAATTGATATGGGTGGGTGTGTGATCACGAGAATAACATATCTTCCCAGAGCACAGTGCATGCAGCAGAGAAGGAACCAAGAGCCACATACCTCGAAACGAACTTGGCCTTGTAGCTCCTTAGAATCGTGCTGGTGATCATCGGAAAATTTTGAATCTTCTGGTTCAACAACCCTGGAGAAACGGTTGACCTTGAAGATGATTTATTTATTCCGTACTTGAAAAAATCATCAAAATTAAAATGCCGGTAAATCATCACTATTAAATGGAGAAATGGAAAAGTTTAGTTTATAAGGTGAGCGCATGTTGCTATAGTGCTGTTTCATTAGACAGAAACGTTTCTCGTAATTACATAAGTATTTCACTGGTGAACGTACACATATCATGGTTATGGCTAATTTGTCGAGTTGCAGTATTTCTCAGAAAACCAGATGATTGGTATGACACGACGATCACAGTGATCAAGTTTGTCTCACAGGAATCAACAGAATGCTCTTTGTGCGATACTTATTATTAAGTCTTCGAAAGTCCATAGGAGAAGTAGGTGCAAGCTGATAAAACAAATGTCTTTCGATCAAGTAACCATTGGCATCAAGAAACTCCATTACAGATGGCTATCAAGGAGTTTCCTTGAGGTCGCTTTGGTGCAGTGAGACTCTGTCTCATAATGGCGAGAAGGTGCTTTCGTAGTGCAATGTGAGATGCTGGAAGCAAGTGCAGGTCTGCATTAACTAAGCGTTAGGCAATACCATAGGAAGGAGTAAAATTCTTTAAATGAGTTTATTTTGCATTGGCTTTTCTGATCTATTTGTACTTACTTGAAGTGTATTATGCTACGATGTTTCACAAAATGTACTACTTTTTGGCAGTGTGACGGCCGTCATACCGAAATGTTTTTTATACTTTTTATAGTCATTTTCTGTTAAACCTTCCGCCAAGTTCTGTGATAGATAGAATCTACTGCTCAGAGTTTGTTACACTGAAAGGTATGTCAAATTATTGTGCGATTCCCACCAATATATCACGATTCTCGGTAATCCATCAATGAATTTACTATTCGATTATGACTTGAATCACGAATCGAGTAAACCGGATGCCTACTTTATTCGGTTGAACGACGGTAGATTTGTGACATTCTTTCCTTCTTGATGAGTCTATTTCATGTAGGTTTGTTATATGCCAGCTCCCCTCCGTTCCGCAGAAATGTTGGTACTAAATGCTGTTGGTAATTTCAAATCATCCATCTAGGATTCAATGGTCAAGTTATGGTTACATCAATGAGGCCGCTGCCATTTTCGTTGACCATAAACGGTCAAATTGCATAACGTACTCTATTTGAATCAGGTGCAAATGTTTAAAAGCTAGTTACTAATATGACGTAAATATTTGCTTGTTCAGAGTCGCAGACTACGGCATAACTGCAGTTTCGAGTGAATATTCATGGAGCGAATAATGTTTCACTGTATACGTCGGTTACAGGCTGAATCACGGACATAGCAAGCATTCTTGACTATTGTAATTGAAAAAAATTACAACTCTTAGCCTGCCTTGCATTGTTCTATATACTCTACTTCTTGCTGGCTATTCGTTTCCTTCTTCGAAGACGAGTGAATGATTCTATGGTACCGATTTCCTTATAAAAGTTCGTATTTTATGATTCGTCGTTGAAGTCCGGTAGAGTTAAAAGACAGAATGTATGAGAAATTCAATTCGACTTACTTTCTGAGGTCTTCGGATCACCGACAACTGACCCGGCATGTATCAGGAACAAAGCGCGAGAAATTTACGTTCTGTCTGTGAGGTTAATATACAAATACCTGAACAGAACATCTCACAAAAGACGGCACGAAATCGTCTGTCCAGCCAGTCAACTTTCTGCATTATGCCACTTGCTTTCTGTATGGGTCGATCGGAAAGCGGAAAAAGGAAAGAGGCGCAAACCGCCTGAACTCCATTGTCGTAAATGGAGTTTTTTCGCTGCCTACCGAGCTAGGGAAACGACCAATAGATTAGATGTAGTGCTCCGTGAAGTAGCTCCGATTCAAGCTGATGTGAATATTTTATTTAAACATATCGCTGTGGATATGATTCATGGTCGTCGTCGACTCGCTTGAACCATTTACTAGCCGAATCACCGTTTTCACGAGCCTCCGCATTGTTGTCTATTCTTTATCAGTCCGTACGGTGATATTCTGCAGTCTGACACTATCACGACCAGGTGAATGCCACTAATATCTGCTGGCAACACCGTTCAGGTAGACCGATCCATTTCAAGCGACACAGAAAGGACACCGGAAACTGGATGATGCACATTTTTCTTGAAGTCAGAGATGAGCTAACTTCATGTAGCATGTTGATTTAACAGTGCAAGAAAGTAATTAGCCACCACTTTTTTGCCAAAGTGCGGCAGGCAATGTTCAGTGTCACTAAGACT